TCCATCTGCAACAACATTGGATAGAGGAAGGTGGAAAATGGATCTTCGCCAGAGATCTAGTAGTGGTGGCACTTACCTCATGTTCAACTCACTATGGAGTTGACCTTCATTCATCAGTCATTTGTGACTACAAAAAGAACGGAGAAAGCCTCTACAACAGCCACCACCACCGATTGTGTCGCTGGTTGTGCCGCTATTGTGTTGTTCTGGTGCAAATGATGGTAGTAAATTGGGGATTCAAGATTGTGTATGTCACATATGGTGAATATCGGTAGTTTTTACTATGAATAGTATTACTCTACATATTTAGGCCTTTAGTTGGAAACTTTTTTAAAAGAATAATTTCATATCCATGATTAAATAAATCAAACGGCTAGCCGTTTGTTTAAAGGAAAACGTTGATAAGAGTTGAAGTCAAAATCAATAATTAATTATAAAAACATGTTTTACAGAATCCACAATTTTTATCAACATTTCAGTCACACATTTCATCATTTTTTTAATTAAAATTAACTAATGAACTCGTGCTTAATATTAACTGAAAACTATCAACTTGCTGCATTGTGAAAAATCCTATCGAACAAATGAGATTAATATTCTTCCTCCATTGATCAAGAATTTGATTTTCTCCGATGAGAATATCACAAAAATAAATTATTTTTCATCGCACAACCAAATTGCATTTATAAGTGTGAAACAAAATCCCATCTATACTACAACATACATTGAAAAATTCACAGAGAGAAGAATATTATCTCGAGATTACATAGACAACAAAATAATACATCACCACTCTATATTTCGAGCAATTATTAGTCATTGCCTAACTAATTGTATACTTTTTAGTGAAAATGACAAAGAGACACCACCGTCATTGGTACACACGTTGACGGATAAACTGGTTTTCATATGTTTGGTGCAAATAGAGGTGAATAGGATCTGCCAAAAACAACATAATTTCTAACCAGACAACGGTCTATGTACGTCACTTCACTTCTTCAAAAGCTTGTAGGTGAAAATCCTTCTGGAATAGGGGGCTGTTGCGCGAGACTGCCTTGTAGGACTCGATTGCATTCACCAGAGAATTATAGAGTGAGCCTTGATTTCAGAAGAAATATATAGACCTTTAGAACAAACAAGATCAAACTTCACAACAGTGTTAAGTGCATGTTCGGTATAGTGTGCTTGGAAGAATTTGACACTACAATAAAAACATTCTAGTATATCAAACTTTTAGAGCATTAAGTGTTAGAAAAACATAATAAGATTATCGATCAAAATAATAATCAAATCCTTAATTCTCAAATATAATCATCCACATTAAAATTAATAAGAATGAACATAGCGGAAGCATATACATACCTTGATCCATAGATTTCTAATTCTTTATCTGGATGTGTTAAGATCTTCTAATTGATTGGTGATCTTCACTTCAATCTTGATCTCTATTGATGGGGATGTAGAGAAACTCAAGAACACCAACAATTGGGGACCATAACCATATAAAATAATAGTAGTAAACAAATAGTCACTAACTTTCAGTTATTTCAAAT